ACAATAGCAAAGACTTGGAATCAACCCAAATGTCCATCAGTGACAGATTGGATTAAGAAAATGTGGCACATATACACCATGGAATACTATGCAGCCATAAAAAAGGATGAGTTTGTGTCCTTTGTAGGGACATGGATGCAGCTGGAAACCATCATTCTTAGCAAACTATCACAAGAACAGAAAACCAAACACCGCATGTTCTCACTGATATGTGGGAACTGAACAATGAGATCACTTGGACTTGGGAAGGGGAACATCACACACCGGGGCCTATCATGGGGAGGGGGGAGGGGGGAGGGATTGCACTGGGAGTTATACCTGATGTAAATGACGAGTTGATGGGTGCAGCACACCAACATGGCACAAGTATACATAGGTAACAAACCTGCACGTTATGCACATGTACCCTACAACTTAAAGTATAATAATAATAAATAAATTAAAAAGAAAAAAAAGAAAACTAGGAAAAAAAAAAAAAAAAGAAATTGCATGTGATAAAATTTGCAATTAGAATTATTGCTGCTTATTCCAGTGAAGGCAAAAAACTAAAGAGAGATTATACTACAGAGTGAAATATAATTAATGTTTACAGTAAGAAATGTATGTGTTTTACATATAAAGATATCAGTGTCCTTGTCAGACACATTTGCCAAAAGGCATTGTGGTGAACTCTCACACACAATGCACAAAGTAGCATAGGTGGAAGATACTTTTATTGAGGACGGTACAATTTCCACATTGTTAGTCATTTGTCCAGTAAGTATGTGTGAACAAAGGTAAATGGCTGTGGCTAAATATGCATTTAATCGAGACCTTGCATGGCTCTTGAAGTTTTTTAAAGATATCTTCCAAAACATGAGATTGCAAGTAAAGATCATTTCAAAGATGTTTTCTTTTTGGAGAGGAAGATACAGAAACATCACCTATCCCGTATTGTGCAAATGAACCAACAAATAAACCGAATCCAAAGGAAATGAGGGAGATTATAATGGAGCTTACACTTTTGGTTTATTTCTATATGCATAAAGAGGCACTGTTTTGTATCTCCTATACAAAAGTCGTACTACTGAGTCAATGATACCTGGGCAGATGCATTGTGTTGTGTTTTTAATTACAGTGATGAATTTCTACTTATTTATAAAATTTGCTCACCCCACACCACACCCACACACGTAGTCTTCTCTGGGACTGACAATAGGCATTTCTATGAAGCAGGAGGAGGTTAAAGTACAGACAATGGCCAAGAAAAACATCCACATAAACTAGTCAGCCCATGAGGGGACTCTGCATCACTGGCACCATTAACGTCAGATACCAACTCAGAGTCCCACACTGACCTCAGAGAGGCTCACAGTACATCCAGTTGAGAAGGCCTCGTGTTGCATTATTGAACATCATAGGATGATGCTGATTTCTGGCTTGTCATGGATGAGAGACACATATAGATATGTGACCAATAATAATTTTATACAAAATTTACCATTACGTTAAGGCATACAAGTAATTATAAGTAAACTGGAAGAGCATCAGTTGCTCATATATTTCAATTAATTTTCAGGTCCTGTGGATGTCAATATTCTAGCTAAATGTAACCCCTGCCTATCAAATCCATGTAAAAATGATGGCACATGTAATAGTGATCCAGTTGACTTTTACCGATGCACCTGTCCATATGGTTTCAAGGTAAGTAAAAGCACTTTAAGAGTCACAGTTGGAGAACATACTTTTTCTTGCTGTGCCTTTATTATTCTACTGTGCTTTCTCTATGTGCCGAGAACTGCTTTAGTTGACTTTACTTGCCCCTTCTTCTCCAGGGGCAAGACTGTGATGTCCCAATTCATGCCTGCATCAGTAACCCATGTAAACATGGAGGAACTTGCCACCTAAAAGAAGGAGAAGAAGATGGATTCTGGTAGGTTATTAGTCTGTGATCATCTGTGTCTGAAGTATTGGAGGAAGGATCACTAAGCCAACATGCATTTTCCTTTTCAAATCAAAGAGCAGTATTTTTCAAAGAATGCCGGAGAAAGGGTACTATGTATGGGTCCCTCTGGAAGATGTTGCAATATAAAAACTAAATGGAGACACTATAGTATTATCAGCTCAGGATGCCACAAAACCAAAACTAATTTACAAACATACACACATGCACCTTATGGTTAATCAGGTCAGATTAGGGCAAGACAAAGTATTAATATTGGCTCCATTATACTAATTAATAGCCAACTAGTCCGCTACTGCTAGTCATATATTCATCTGTTGTTTTGCTTATTGCTTTAACAGAGTGTGTAATGATAAGATATAGGTCCCACTGAAACAGAAAATTAATGATTTATTTCCGAGATACAATATAAGTAGACAGACTTGCTGTGAATGATTTTAATCTGGAGTTTTTTAATCATATGGTACAATTATTTCAGATGTACTTCATGAATTATGAACTGGAGCTCTTTATTAAATGACAATAATAATATTACATAAGAATGCTAATATACTACTAAAACTTGTTAGAATTTCACTTTTTAGAAGAAATAGACTTCTGCATTCTGTTATGAAGTTGTCTCTTATTCAAATATTATTCAATACGTACTCAAGATTGTTTTATGCCAGAGGAAGGATTGCATTTATTAAGACAAAGAGGAACATTCACATTTTGTAATTGCAAGGAAGACAAAAATTTTATTTTTGGATTCATTTTTGTTTCAAAACATCAAGGACATTATATGTATGTTAGTAGATGTTGTAATTTTAAAAATCAGAACTAGTTCCTCTTCATTTATGAGCAAAGAAGTCTGAATTATTTTATTAGAGCACAACTCAAGATTAAGATATCTAGGGCTGTGGAATAAAGCTGCTTGTGTTTTAGACCTGCAAATACAGTGAATTTATTGACTTTCAAGACCATGGAACCATTTGCCTTCTTGCAACCAGCATAAATTTTATTTTTTGAATGGTTTCTGCTTGGGTGGATATTACCTTAAATTGACGTTTACAACATGTCATTTAAAAGCATTTTAAAAAATCCATTTCTGGTAGTTAAAAGCTCTATGGTTGATTAGTGTAATTATGCTTTTTTCAATATTTAGACCACATGACTTGAAAATGCGGCAAAAAGATGTTTTTTGCTTTTTCTTCCTCTGGCATTCAGGTGTATTTGTGCTGATGGATTTGAAGGAGAAAACTGTGAAGTCAACGTTGATGATTGTGAAGATAATGACTGTGAAAATAATTCTACATGTGTCGATGGCATTAATAACTACACATGCCTTTGCCCACCTGAGTATACAGGTACAAAGAACAGGAAATATTTTGCCTTCAATCAGTATATCTGTTTGAAAGCATCATTGGAACTATGTTATATATGTTTAGTAAATCATTTTATTATTTGATAAATGGTAGGTGTCTTGAAAATCAGATGCAATGTAAATAACGTAAGGACTTAAAGATAGTTTCAGCTAACCAAATAAAAGACCCAGGAATCTCTGTTCAAACACATGCATCTATTATAAAGCCATGCTATCCAGTAATAAAAGAAGCTATTGTCCTAAAGCTTTTAGTCCCACAATTAAATGGCATTTTTGTACAAACCATTTTCCCTGTGCAAACCAACCCCCAGTACCTGTGTGAAAACAGGACGTTTATTTAATAGCCAAAACATAATTAAGCATTTGGGATCATTCATCTTCATACTTAACGTCTTTGCTAGTGAGTGTTTGCCTCTAGTAACCCATGTCCCTCAAATTAAAAGTCAGGAAGATACTGAGCACTTTGGATAGTCTTATGAGACTATCACCTTTTTTCTAACACTTTTGTTTATTTGGATGACACATCTCATTAGACTATTAATTGCTAAACTTCTTCCCTATTCAAACCAATTTGCTCTAAAGTCAACATCAAGCTTATGACTTGTCTATTTTGTCAGAAATGATTTTTTTTTAATTTTTTTTTTGTGGCTCTGAATTAGAAACTTCATAGATATGCCCCTTTTCCTTTAATAAATCACTTAACATTGACAAAGGAAAAACAAGAATATTGTACATTTTATTTGTAAGAAAAAAAATGGAGAAGTAATTTTGGTCGCTCTACTTAAAGTTGCTATTTTCATTTTCTGGGTGCATTTCATTAATTATATCTATTTTCATATAATTTAATACCTAGTGAGAAAATCAAAGGATGAAATTACAATGCAGGTGACTGGAGTTAACATCTCACAACATGAAAGATGAGCATACATCTGTATGATTAAATTTTCCCAGGGATGGTTTGGAAAATGATTAAAATGGAAGCTTTTATGGAGTACCCAAACTGAATTTTACTAGGTACCTTTCTTGATGGGAAAATACTAGGTAGAATAATGAGGCTCTGTTTTGGCAACCCAAATCTGTTTGAGTGACTCTGAAGGCTGCTTTTTCTAGGGTCTTATTTTTAATTTTTATTTTTTTGGCACCAATAAAGCACCCGATATCATGTAAAGCAGTAATAGCATACTAAGTTTCCAGCAGAAATTTGAACATGCTATATTACCAAGTCTTATAGGAAATATCTACAGACCTTAGTCTGCTTAGTGGGTGGAATCTTAGCATTATTTGATATTTTACATGCACCTTTCTAGAGTATCTAGAAATAATGTAGATGCTATGTAGCTTGGACTTTCACACTAATATTACCAATATTATCACACTTCAGAAACTTGACATTAGCCTGTGACCACAAATTCTGGAGCCCTTTGAGCTGCCCTGAGAATTTAACTTCATTGGATGGGCTGATTTAGACTTGTCCAAGAAGCCCAATGTTTGCACTAAAATCTGCTACCTGGTACCTTCTTAGGATGGAGTAATTCTCTTTTTCCATCATTTTCCTGATCATTATAGAAAGGGCTTAAGAACCCAGTTAATTTTGGCGGCCTCCTTAGACCAACCCACTCTCCCTCCACCAGACAAATTGGACCCAAGCATTTCAAGCAAACTTTGCCTAACCAATACCTTCCTAAGCACAGAACCAGGAATATATATATATATATATATATATATATATATATATATATTTCCTGATGAAAACGTAGGCTGTGGAGCACAACTGCAATCAGGTTCTTATATGTCTTTTTGACAATAAAATTTCTAGAAGGTGGTTGAGGACTCTTTTGAGTTGGTTTGGAGGAGTCCTCCTGCTTTGGCTTTTGATTTGCTATTCCTTATTCTTATCCATTTCTTTTGAGTCTTTGTCTTAGCTGCTCACCCTTCATTTCCCCAGCTCCCTCTCTACACCTGCTCCTCTTGAACACACGTTTTCTCCTATTCTAAGGGTCAGTTCAGAGCAGTTTCCTTGGAGAAGTGTTATGAAGCCTCACTTCCCCAACTATATCAGATCTCTTTCTTTGAAACATATCATAAATACCTAAAGCTTAGCCAAACCATTCTTCAGCCAAAATGTGACATCTATAAAAGCTGTCATCTGGGAACTTGCCATGAGTATCTGTCAGGAGCCATTTGGCTCTCCACAAGAACTGGGACTGTTTTAGTCTTTTTACTTGTAACTATTGCAAATGTCAGTTTGCCTTAATTTGGGCAAAGGATCAACAAAAATACTAAACAGAAAGTACATGGCATACAAAACATGAAGATACGACCATTTTATCTTCGGAGTTGGTCTTGTGGGCCATGAAGGGTTTGACAATTTGGCATGAGAGAAGATATCTAAATGGGGCAAATGTATAACTCATCTATTAATTGTAGTATTTTTGTGCACACGTGAAATGAGCTCATTTACAAAATTTCAAACAACCATCTGCAGATTTTGAAATCATTGACACATAAGTGACCTTTAATTATGGGAAGTAGGAATGAAGCTCTAGAGTTTTATATCCTGCTTCATCCAAGTCTGCAGTTAAGGAGGAATTTTCTTATAATGTGATTATATGGTTTTAAATTTGAGTTTGGAATCTGATTAATGAGCATGAGATCTGGGAGCAGAAGCACTGCTATGCTCAGGGAACATAATAATGTCAGTGTTTAAAAATCATCCTAGTAACAAGTTCATTTTTCCTTTGAAAATTTTGTGCTCTATATCCCAAAGGCATACAATGAGAAGTGAACTCTGTTTCATGGGAACAAATAATGCCATACAGAAAAAAAGCTTGTAAATTATTATGGTGACAGTTTTTGTATTTGACACCTATATCAAGAGTCAGAACGGACATAATGTCAATGGAAACAAATTCAGAGATCTGTGAGCAATCTGACAGAGAAGTTGTGATGAACAGACTACAAAACATGACTAGAAATATTTAAAATAAAATGAGCCACCTATGGGGAATGTATTAAACTTTATTTAAGCCCTGTGTGACCAAAATAGCACAGTGAGTAGTTACTGATTTGTTAGAGGAGAAAATTCTCTGCTCTTTCCTGCTCCAGGGATTGACAGCATAAACTGTAAGGACAAATACTGTTTTTCTATTATCTAAATCTTGCTGTAACTTCACCACCCTAGTCACCAAAACCATTCTCCATATACTCCAGTTCATCATCTGTGCTTCCAGTTGTGTAATGCATGACTGCCAATTACTAGTGTATTTTAGGTAAGATTAACCTTTGAAAAGTTGAATTCCCTATGAATCTAAATTAACATCCCTATACTATTAAGACAGTAGGACTTCAGAATTGTAAAACAAACAATTTTAAAATTAAATCTAAGGTTTTAATTGTAGCTTGAGAGATTTTCTTGGTTTTGATTTTTTGTGTGGTTATTTTTAAAAAATCATGATCATCTTCTTTCTAAAGACAAGACATTTCTTGGAGCTAAATGTCCAAGGAATTCCTGAAATTACATAAACCTAACACCTATAAAAATAAAAACTATAAATATGGCACCCCTGTTTTTTAGAAAAATGGACCCTTTTTTTAGGCTGTAGTGTTACCTTAGGTGTTTAATTCAAAAATGTGCCTTTGTGTATTTCCCAACAGTCAGAACCCTGGATCCGCTATATCAAGACTGTGTGTCTTAATTAATTCTTATTCTTACAGGACCACATACAAGTATGACACAGTTGATCACATTTTAAGCCCTCCTTTCACTTAATGGGATTACTTAAATTCCATAAAATGAACATCTCCATGCACATTGGGCATGTAAAGCCTTAGAACACATTTTGTGGAAAATATTCAGACCACTTTAAATTTTCCATTGTGTACCCATTTTCTCTTTGTTTTCCGAATCTCTGACGCCCATGCACAAGCCATTCGGTGTCCATCTTAAACAGTAAAGGTGCTGGTTGTTTCGTCACCTGGTTTAGACGCAGACCTCTAGCTCCCTGTGATAGCATTTACCTTTTGCCTCATTTTCTCCATGTTTGTGCGTGTGGCCCGGCTGTAGGTAAGAAATCCAAGCCTTGCTTCAGCTCGCTCGCCCACCCCTGCTTCTCTGTTGTGAACGCTGCGCATTGGCTTCCTGTGCTCTGCTGTTGTATTGCAATGTAAAAAGTCTTTTGTCTCTTCTGTCTTTGTCGCTGCCAGCTGCTAATCTGAATGAGGTGGAAAAAGGTTAGTTGCCTTTTAAGTCTATTACGATTTTCATTTTAGTCTCCCTCTTTCTTGTAAAGTTACGTAGATTTCACTGTGTGTACATGGTAAAAAGGAATGTTGACAAAATATAAAATCTGAAAACAATATGTCAAATCAGTCATTCAGATCTTTAATCTATGCCTCACTATGCCAAACACTATAAAATGGGCCTCTGATATGCAATTTATCTATTGTTAGAAGACAACGAATAGAAACTTTTTGAGTGGGAAGAAGGGGTGGCTAGAATAAGGGACGAATATAAATTTTTTAAATTTTCTACTTGTCTGTATGCTTCCACTTTTTAAATATGTCACAAACATGTATTACTTTTAGAATGAAACACGGAGGTTATTTAGTTCTGTAGATAAGGCTGCAGATAGAAAAATGTTTAAGAAAGAAAGACTGTTCCCATAACTTTAAGCAGATCTCTTTAGTAACATGAAACATGAAAAACATTTGAAGGTGTATACATTTATTGAAACACTTTAGGAAATAAATATTATAAAGTCTAAGAAGTTGACTTACAGGATGCCATGACTACTAGGCAGTATGTTTAAGCATAAAAAAAGCCATATTTAATCATTGACATCAATATGATCCACCCGGCTCCCCAAATACATCGGGGCCCATAAAAGTTAGTCGTAGAATTATTAGAGTATAATCGTGTCTGGGAAATCATCATGGAATATTTATGACATTTTATCTTAAAGACTCAGAGTTTTAACTAATTAC